AGAAGTACAGGGAGCCGGTCATTTTACCTGAATATTTAGCGATGCATCATATATACAAGTTCCAATTGATGTCGTGTGTGAGTTTAAATCCCAATATCCTCTCAGAGCCCTTAGCCTTCTCGAGAGGGCATCCGTTTATCGTGACTGGTGGTAGTTTGGGGTCTGGTCGGCGGTGATGGAATGTAACCAGTTTTGGTTTTAAAAGCACTGAATGTAATCAGCCATTTTCCCCATTGGTAAGTTAGTGTTAAATCAGAAGAGAGGTCAGCAGCCAATCTGATTGTCAAGACTTCGGGGTGCGCTTGTATATCGTCGTATCACCGGCATAGATATTTACAAATGAGCGGAGTATATTCTTAAGCAGATCATTTATGTAAATCATAAAGAGGGTTGGTCCGAGAAATGATCCTTCAGGGACGCCTGCGTTAACCGCCATGGCCTTGTAGAACTGTCCGTTAATAACAACCTTCGGGGTTCTTTTTTGCTAGGAAGGATTTTATAATAGAGAAAACCCTTCCATTAATTCCATAGCTGGAGAGCTCTGTGTAGCAAACCTTTGTGCCACACCTTGTCGAAGGTCTTCGAGGTATCTAATGCTATGGTCCTTGCAGCGTATATGTCGTCGAGGGCCTCACTAGTTCTATATGTAATGGTAGTAAAGACGTCAGTAGTGGATCAGGCTGATCGAAACACATACTGCTCGTCGTAAAAGAGGTTGTTCCTATCCACATGTAAGTGGCGTGGCGGGCCCTAGCGGTGAGGGCCAGGCCTGCTGGAACTAGGAGATGCAGTTCGTCCGAGCATTTTCCATGGTAGTAGCGATAGACAGTGAGAGACTCGCCACATCCCACTATTAGAGAGAGGGGTTGGAGGGTTGAAAAGAATTCTTCTCCATCAAGGACTCGAAGACGCTTTTGAACTCTAAACTGGAAACTGAAGATTAAGCAGCATCCGACCGCATAAGGCAACAGTTTACCATTTTCGGTTTGATTTGGCTCCTATAAAGATAGAAGATAGCACGAATAGTCAGGTACTTATCAGAGCGGTACAGGGAGCCGATCATTTTACCTGAATCTTTAGCGATGGGTCGTATATAGGTATTCCATTTGAGATCGGGTGTGAGTTTGAGGCCCAGTATTCTTTCAGGGGACGGGGCTTCCTTCGAGAGGACATTCGTTCATCGTGACTGGTTGTAGTTCGGGGTCTGACAGGCGGTGATGGAATATAACCAGTTTGGTTTTCGAATCATTGAATGTAACCAGCCAGTTTTTCCTACCATTGGCAAGTTAATGTTAGATCTGAAGAGAGGTCAGTTGCCAATTTCTGATCGTCAAGAGTTTTAGATGTGCAACTGTATATCGTCGTATCATCGGTATAGACGTTTACAAATGATCGGAGTATATTCTTAGGTAGATCATTTATGTAAATTAGAAAGAGGGTTGATCCGAGAATGACCCCCGAGGGACGTCTGAAGTGACCACCAGGGCCTCGGAGGACTGGCCGTTAATGACTACCTTCACAGATCTATCTGTTAGGAAGAATTTTATAACAGAGAAAACACTCCCAGTGATTTCATAGGTGGAGAGCTTGTATGGCAAACCTTTGTGCGACACCTTGTCGAAGGCCTTCGATATATTTAATGCTATTGTCCTTACGGCATATCTGCTGACAAGGGCCTCACCAATTCTGTGGTAGGTAGCAGTGGATAGGCTGATCAAAACCAATACTGCTCGTCGCACAAGAGGTTGTTCGACGACCTTCTTTTGATTAAGGCCTCAAAAAATATACTAATGATACTAAGCACACCAATAGGTCTATACTGGTAGGGGGGGATCAGTGACCCGCGTTCTTGAAGATCAAGGCTACGCTTGCCATCTTCTACAGGCTTGGGAAAGAATTCTCCTTCAAGCATCGGTTAAATAACTTTGCTAAGATCAGGGATAATTCGGGAGTCGAGGCTTACTGAAATGAGTATATTACTGAGATTGTGTTCAGTGAGACGCGAGGTGTTGGGGAGGGGATGGCCTTTGTCACCTAACGTTAAGTTTAAGGCAAGGATCGTGACGAAGAGCTTCTCCTTGTCTGTCGGGGAAGTTATGACCTCAGGGCTATTTATAATAATAGGCACATCTGCTTTGCCTTCGATCATAATTTGGTGAATCTTCCAGAATTCGTGATATCGAATGTGTTTCTTTCAACCTTGGCCTAGACAGATCGCGCGTAGTCGCTCTTTGGGTTTTCCAGGACTCTCTTACAGCGATTGTGGGTGGTTCTGAATGAAGTGTACATCTCGAGATTCTTGGTAAAATTCAAAGAAGGATCTGCAATATAATCGATTCTGACCAGGCGTCTCGACTTTGAATGGTTTCCCTTTGTCTTTTTTCTACAAATATCTTTATGGAAACTTTTCTGATGAGATTTTTCCCTGGTGCCCCGGCTAGCTGAATTTTACTTGGTTGGCCATTAGGTCTCACCGTTTTACTGATGAACTAGCTAGATGCAAACGCCACTTCAACACAGTTTCTTTCCTCGCATCTCACACCTGTGGAACTCCTTTCCGATTTCTTGCTTCCCTGATAACTACAATCTCCAAACATATAAATACAACGTCAATCGCCATGTTTCGTCTTCTTGAACACTGTTCTTTTTTTTTTTTTGTCCTTTCTCAATCCTCTTCATTTTCAGTCTTCTCAATTTCTTTCACTTTCACTCCCTCTTAGCCCCTCCCGTCTTAGTGGCTTTATCGCCTTGCTTGGGGTGAAACGATTAAAAAACAAATCCCCAACCTCAAAAACGCATCAGCATCTAAGAGGCACCCGTCATAAGTTCAGCTAAATGTTGGTGGATGAAACCAACGTACGAGTTTCTATAATTAGATGTAAATTTTTAAGCCAGGAAATATTTGGCCTCAAAAACGAAAGAAAATTTTTTTAAAGATTCGTTTAAGTGAAAAATATAATATCTTCTACACAAGAAAATATATTTTCCTATTTCAATCAAAACCAATTACTTTTGGGAGACTGCTGCGTTGTATTTTTTATTTCACATAAAAAATATCGATTTATGTTCATAGAAACAAATTTAGTAACTCAGTTAAAATTTGTCTTGGGGAAAATTGGAATTTGACGAATTAGAAATTTTATTATGTTGTTTGTTTTACTTTGATTTGTCTGGTGAAATTTTTAAAGTAATGGCTTCTCTCTTATGACTGCAAGTCATAATCGGATGCATCTTCCTTTATTTCCAATGTGTCAGGCATTATGTTTGACAATAGTGAACAAAACACTTATTACATTTAATCAGCAATATTAAAAACCAAAGACTATCTGAGGCTTTGGCGATGTACTTCGAACAAGAACAGGAGACACGTTAAAAACATGTGTGCATCTAATAAACATGTAAAACAGCTAATTCAAAAGCTGTCCTCGTTTACTCATCTCAGCTTCGATACTTCGATTATTATGGAATCAATAAACAGCAACGAGAGATGTTTTAATTAAAAGAATGTATTTTCAAATGTTTTAATAAATTATTAAAATAGAAAAAAATGACTTTCTGGAGAACCTGTTAATGTTTATTTAAAGTTTGTGACGTATGATTCAATGAGTCATGTAATGATTATATGAAGTCATCTTAACGCATCAAATATTCAAAATGGTGGCTAAATCATTGTGTGTAAATATAATACAAAAGTTCTGTACCGATTAACTCTCACCGGTGTTGCTTGAATCTATGATAACATGAAGAAACGATTATAGCCGAATTGTAAAGGTGTTTCGAAAATAATAGAACGCTTATTTTCATCTTATATGTTTCTTTATTGAAATCGAGGTGGACTACCTCATGAGAAATTCAGGGAAGACGTGTGGTCACTTAGTCCATTGCTAAATCTATTTGCTTTCCATGGAAACGTAACGGTGATTATGATACCTCTTCGCACCTAACAACATGTTCTCCATCCAAAAACATAGGTTCATATGACGAATTCACTGGACACTATCTTGACAAAAGAACTCGACGAATATATAATGAATTTCCCTGGTTTTCCCCAGTCTTTCTACTTTGGCGATCCTGATCCAGGATTTCTTATTAGCTGGTTCCTGCCTCATGTGAATCCGTCATCACCCACCCACCACCACACACACATGTCAAAAAAACGCCAATGAATTTACTTTCTGTCCTTCAGCTTTCTCTTTTTGGGGAAGATGGAATAAAACATATTTTGGGAATAAGACCCTCATCACCAAATACTTAGGCAATCAAACCTCAAAATATTAAAACCAACCAATTTGAAAATCCAGGCAGATGCTATGTGAACACTAAAAATGTTGCTCCGCAATTATTTCCGTTAACCGCATTACTTAGAACGATTACTTCACTACTTAGATAAATATAAAAAAACTTACTCTTAGTTGACAATAATGCAAGTGACACATTGCTATAAAAATGCACTATTGATTATTTATGGCTAATTTGTTTGAATAATGCACTGACGTCACATGGCAATAATTTTAAGTAAAATGGTACACTAAAATAAGTAACCAAGTAATCGTTTTAAGTTCTCTGAAAATCGGTACTAAAAATATTTTTTGAGATATAAGAAGTGAGTTTAAGACTAAAAACCTACAAAATGAATCTTTGAGTAATTTAGATCAGCATATCAAAAAACTAGTTACTTGGTTAAAACACAAGTTAGATTCAATGTTTTGAGTCCTGGACATCTCTCTATCTCTCTTCATTAAATAGCGAATTATCATTCATTATTAATAATTGTTAGAGAAAAGTGAGAATTTTTTGATTCAGTGCTGCTCTTCAATGTTTAAGTCCTGAGCATGCTAAAATGCTAATTTCATTCATACGCCTTAATTAATTTTTCTAATTAATTCTTTGTTCATAAGTCTAATTCAGAGATTTTTGTCCAATCCCTGTTTATTTATTTTTAGGTCTGATAAAAGTGCTTTTCTAAGTTTGCAAATTTGTGATATGAGATTTCTCAAAATATGCGAGAAATCTCGCATTACAAATACCAGACAAGTTCTGAAGTTGGTGACAAAAAAGCTTGCAAATAAATTCTAGAGCCAAGCAACATTGGCTTCAAGTTACACTTTACCGCGCTTTTTTTTTTGTTTGTGATTTCTTTGCTTCATTTCGGCCTTCTATCCAAAACGATATCCTTGAGTAGAGTTATCAATATTTAATAATCAGAGTGCAATGCGATAAGATTGTGTATCGATAGATTTCCAAGTAAAGGATGTGTGCATTTTAAATCAGCATTCGAAATCCTAGGTTTTACTAAAATACGAGCACCAAGCACCAGTGGAAAATACGCCAGTTTTTTCAACTATCAACTAAATCGTCACCTTAATTAATATCATATAAAAAAAAATTAGAACATTATTATTATCCTCCCCACTCTCTATCTCTCTCTCTCTGTTTGTGTGTCTGTCTGTCTGTCTCTCTCTCTCTCTCTCTCTCTCTCACACACACACACACACACACACACACACACACACACACACACACACACACTATCTATCTATCTATCTATCTATCTATCTATCTATCTATCTATCTGTCTGTCTGTCTCTCTCTCTTCATTAAATAGTGTGGTTTTAGTTTTCCTCGCTTCCTTGCGTATAACGAAAGAACACGAAAAATTGTTCAAAAAGCCTGTTTTTCGGCAATAACTCCCTGGTTTTTCATTCGATGCTTTCCAAATTTGCCATGACACACAAATTGCATCAATGTTTGGTTTAGATTATTTCAGTTAAGTGGACGAAATCTGCGATAAACTTGGTCCCAAATTGGTTCTTGCCATTTAGCCAATAGTTTCTTCATGTGATTCCATCCTAAATTTTCATTCGAACTATCTTTGATGCAAAGATTGTTTGAGAAACATTATTGAAGCGTTGAATCAAGCTCTGACGCTTCATTCGTATTTTTGTTTGATTATTAGATTTGTGAACGATACTATTTGAAATTTATTACGGCCATACGAAATTTATTGAATATCTAAAACATTGAAACAATTTTACTCCGTGTAACGACCACACAAGAAGGATTTATCGATGGAATTCCTTTATTAAGAACAATTAAAGACTTGTGAAGGACATACCGTAAAAAAGATGGGGGAGGAGTAGCTTAATATACCAACGGTTGATGCATACAAGCGGAGATGCAGGTAGACATATCTAGAGGTGTGGGTGCCGGTATACAGGAGATGCGGTTATACAATTGCAGCGATGTACACCCGGGCAACGTCGGGTACCTAGGCTACTATACACACACACATACACATACACGCACAAATAAATAGATAGATAGATAGATAGATAGATAGATAGATAGATAGATATTGATAAGATATTATATATATATATATATATATATATATATATATATATATATATATATATATATATATATATTCCCAAGAGGGTAGACTCAGGCAGAACTCAATGTCCAGTTACAAAGTAAAAATATAAGTTTTTTGAATTTGTAGGTCTGAGGATTTGGATCGTGATCATGATTCCAATGTAATAAATTATAACCATGGAATATTAGTGTTCTAGCCTTTTATATATATATATATATATATATATATATATATATATATATATATATATAAGGTTAATAGAGTCGAATCAGACCAGAAAAGGGTAGTATTAACAAGTGCTCAATACGTATGTGAAAAAATATAAATAAAAGTAAAAATAACATATAGAGATTTTAAATTTAATTGACCTCTTGATTTTTTTTTATAATATATATATATATATATATATATATATATACTGAGTGCAAGAGAAAAATTTTCCAAATTGGGCAACAGGATAATTGTTCAATTGTTAGATTTAGCTTTGAAACCTTGTATCTTGAAATGATTAAAGATATCTTACTGAAATTCTCCAAAGTTTTTATAACACCATTGGACTCTACTTCGAACAATAAGAATGATTTTAGTTCTAAATTGAAATGATGATCCGTCTTCTTGTTTTGATCTCCTGATCCCGTTTTAATCTCTATTGTTTCCTCTTCTTTACGCTTATTCGGCTTTTTCATGAATGCTTGTTGAATGGACTTTGATGATGGATGCCAATGTATGAATCTTGGTACCATTACTGAAGGCCTGAACAATATTTTTCCTCACATCATTGCTAGGTCGCAAGACATAGTGGGGCTGACACGATTTTAAACTGTTCTTTTTCTGACTGAATGACTTAAAGGGTTCTTCAGTGATTCTTACGACAAATGGTAGCAAGATGGTTAAACGTCTTATCTGAAAACCTGAAAAATTAAGACTTTGTGGGAAAAACGATACCGTTACACCATTTGGACAACTTACAGTTACTCCCGATGTGTGTGTATATATATACATATATATATATATATTAATAATATCAATGGTCAATATATATAGTAGGTCTGATGAATTAGATCGTGATTACGATTACAATGTAATAAATTATAACCATGGAATAATAGTGATCCTTTATATATATATATATATATATATATATATATATATATATATATATATATATATATATATATATATATATATATATTACACCCGGTATATATATATATATACTGTTACACGATTTTGACAATTTTGCTGGTAGACCTGATGCATATATATATATATATATATATTGTATAAAATTTTTAACAAAGTGCATCGGCGTTACATTTTCCTAGGAAGCCACATTTTCTTCTTTTGCAGAAGTGCCAATCCATATGTAAATAATGCCGTCATTTTGACGGGCACTACGCTGCTCGCAGAAGAGTCTACATGCCATACTTGTTAGTAATCTTCTATTGTTTTCATGTCGTCCAAGTGCGTTTTTACTTATCCGTCTATGTTGCAAGGTGCAGAAATCCACGAAGTTTAGTTGTGTTTGGCTAAAAGTCACAGGTAGTGGGTCACCGAGTGCATTTCGAATTTGCTAAAAGTGTCATGCTAGCCTAATTTTCATTCAAAGAAAGCCTCCCGATGTTATGGCGTCTATTTGCGTGCATTTATGCGCTGAGGAACAAATACCGGATGTCACTCTGCGCATCGTTTGACACACGTGTGCATTTGAAGGTTTCCATCTGTAAGCTCGTTCGCTTGGGGTCGAAAATCAATAAAGGGCTTTGCTGAAAGCATATGTCTCTACTTAACCGTGGTCACACCAAGAAATAACCAATGCTTAAGATTTACATGACGACGGTTCCAAATTCACACGAGTTGTTGATGCCAGCAATTCGTATATGCCAAAAATGCTGTAAATTACTTCCTTTAAGTGATAAGATGAAAGTTTACTATCCAAGAAAGAAAGAAATTTTTTACTCTTATTGCAGTATATTGTCATATAATTAAACTTTTTTTATGACTTCGATACGTTATTATAGTGGATACTGATATGTCCCGTAAAGGGATATATTTGTTCGAAGTAGAAAAGTGGTTTTGGACTACTGTAACCGAGTAGGACAATCTAGCAGGTAACCGTAATGGACTGGTCCTCGTCGTAGTGGTAGGCAATAGGCGTATCATATTACTGTGTGGCGTAACCCAGGTGTATGCATATTCATTACAGCAGATACTTGTATCTCTATCTATAAAAGGCAGGATGTGTGTGTGTGTGTGTGTGTGTGTGTGTGTGTGTGTGTGTGTGTGTGTGTGTGTGTGTGTGTGTGTGTGTGTGTGTAACGAATGCACAGCCGCAATTTTTGAAAATTTGCACCAAAATTTACATGCACATGCTCCAAGTTAGCGTGAAGGCCAAGACCGACTTTGAATTTCCCAACTCCCATCGATAGTGGAAATAATCGATTTTTTTCACGCTTCTACGCCAGTTTTCATTTTTTTTTTTTGCAACCATTTTCTACTGGCCAGAGAGAGAGAGTCAATAGCTGGCTGCCTCGAATAGGCAGGAAGATTCTATTGGCCAGCGTGAGAGCCAACAGCTGACAGACACGAATGTTAACTAGCATGCTAGCATGCAAAAAAATCGATAGCTGCATTCGTCACAAGTGGGAAAAATTTAAATCTGCATGGAACTTTACTTCAATTGGCTCATTCGCTTGCTTAAACTCAACGTTGATTCTGATTCCGCAGAAGTGGGTTGGGTGTGAAAAAGTATTTGTTGTTAACATTCTTTTTTTCATTCGGTTTTTCCAGTTACGAGTCCTTTTTTAAAGCTGATCGTTTTGTGTTCATTTTGTTTAGTTCTTTTTTCGTAACAGATTTAATGTCTAGTATAGAGCTTAGAAAAAATTCGCAGTGTGAGATAGGCAAGAAGTAAGGCATGTAGCAACATCAGAACGGCAAATGGCACTCCTTTAAAGGCAAGGAAGGCCAAAAATATTTTAAGTCAAGCGATTGCTGTATGAGTCTTACGATTTTTGAATCAAGCACGGGCAACGCCAGGCTATGCTGCTAGTTTGAAATAGACGCCTTGTCTTTATTTTTACTTTAAACAGCTGTATTACGTCTATTGGGCGCAGTAGTTGTGAAATCTTATTAATGAAAATACAGGCCCATAGACGTAATACACACTTTTTAAAGAAAAAAATAAAAATGGGGCGTCTATTTCAAATATGATTATCCACTATATTAACGGTTATAATTAAAAAATGTCCAATTAAAAATAAACCCATTAATTCTTTAGAAATTAAACTTTAAATTTAATTTAACATTTGAATGTATAGGAAAAACATAGTATTCGGGACAATTTCTTGTTTCAACCATCTTCTAGATATCTTAGATTCCTGATAGATGAGAGGGAAAATTATTGTAATTGGAGACAACTATAACTTTTATACCCTGTGTTTGCTTTCATCATTTTTGTTTACATAACACACTGATTTTGTTTTTACATTTACTTCTTACCAAAATAGTACAGAAGAAATACTAAATGACCTATTATTCCTAGGTTTGTTATTACTATTAGATTACTAGAAGGGAAGAGTGCTATGTTATAAATCGGATAGGGATCTGAACGCATTAGTTACATACCCGTTTGGTGCAAATATTATGTTATTCGATCGCAGAAAGCAGGGAAAGGTCGTTAGCAGGGAGTGTTGAGCAACTGTACAACCAGAAAACATTTTATCAGATTGCAGAGGTGATACACGAAATAAGTACAGCAATTAACGTAACCCAGATGGCGACAGACCGAAAAGCTAGAAGCTCGGTGTCACCAAAAAGATAAGTAATCTTATTAATAAAAGCTTTCGTCTAAATATAAAGTCGACAAGGTAGAATTTTGTTTCATAAACTATAAACAAAAATCTTTTTATCATCACAGTCGATTTTATCGGGTGATGATAACAGCGTTAACTAAAACACACCACATGTACCAGCAATCTGACAATACGAGAAAGTACACCAATGGAATCACTGAAGAAAAACAGTGAAAAAATCTATAAAGAAAAGATTGTACATGATAACAAAAACTAATCAATGTAAATTTCATATTAAAGTTTGTTTTTTTTTGTTTTATTTTAAAGTGGTGTTCACTCTGCACAAAGCCCGAGAGGCACTCAAGGTAGAACATTACAGAGTAAGAGGCACAGTTTGTGCGTATATGTGTGGAAGACAACGGTTAACCCTAGGC